CTGAATTCCATTATTGCACATTCCAGCTCTCCCACCCCCATCCCTTAGACTAATTGAAAGCAAATCCACAAGATGGAAAATGGTCAATATATTTATGAGAGGTTTAGGTCACAGTATTTTGATTTTTTTTTTTGAAGGATGCAATTAACTGAGACATTAGTTTTATAGGCTTGCTTGTCCTTTTGTATTGCCAAACTCTCAATTCCTAATGTGAATAACTGGTCCCATTTTCAGTTCAGCTGTGTTTCATCTTTTGTGGGGACTCTTTGCAGCTTTCTCTCTGCAATATTTGTCCAAACAAAAATATGTTTCAAACTTGTGAAAACTATGTCCCCAAATATGCACTTTGTATTTTTTCAGACATGATTTTTTTTTTAAAAAAAAACTTGAACTTTGTATCTATTTTAATATTTAATTTTCTCTTTGAAAATTCCACCATACTGAGAGAAAACATCAAGAGACACAGAGGGAGATTTTCTTTTTAGGGCGAATTCTGACCAGCTCAGAAACAGGGCCTAGAGGGGGAGGACAGGACTAGAAATATGGCAGCCTGGGAAATATTATATATACATGTATGTGCATACATATGTCAGTGTACTGTTAATACACAACTCTATAATCTCGAAGCTCTTTCTCATGTGAGTCTACCAGGGCCTCAAATTAGTCCCTTTGTCTGTATGCATGTATATTTGTGTCTGATTATTGGCAAGTCTCTTGCATATGTGCGTGCATTCATGTATACAACTGCATGTGTTTTTATGTGCATCTGTTTCCATTGACTGAAAGTTGGACAGGGCCCTAAGTGTACATATCTCTTGGATGGCAAAAATGTACTACATCAACAAAATAGAGAGAGATCATCTTACAGCTCACTATAGGGTTTCTCTTTCAATAACACAAAAAGCCATGTTTCTTTCTTTAAGATATCTGTATGCAGAGTGCTAGTTTCTAATAGCAATCAGAACATTCCTAAAAAGAAGTCCAGAGAGATAGTGGACAGAGCTATGCAGCTTGCAGACTTATGATTTTTTTTAATTCTGTCAGTTGGATATTGACTGACTTTCTAATGCACACTCCTCTAATTCTTAATTAGAATGACATAGCTAATTAATAAGTTTTTTCCAATTATAAATTAACTTAGGATCAGAACTCTGGCTTTGCATGTAATTTCCTATAATCACTAAAGCTACTGCAAAAACATGTCTCCTACCAACCGTAACTTTTTTATTTAACACAGACAGACAAGTTCTCACTGGGTTTAAATTTTACAGCAAATTATCTCTGTTGGGATTTAAGAAGGGAAATTTAAAAAAAAATTCACAGGAGTTTTTTTTCCTTTTTTTTTTTTACGCCCCCCCCCCTTTTCTTTCTTAAACAAAATAGCATCCCTTAATGGACAATTTCTTTCTGAGATTTAAAAGGAATTCATCTTAATATTTTAATGTTATTACAGGGAAGGAAGAAAGAGAGCAGGTGATAATTCGTTTTTTCATAACTGTTACCACCTTTTCATGGTTTCTGCAAAAATGATTTGGGAGGATCCCGCATGCTGCTCATTTATAGAATCTTAACTGGAGAGACACTTATCTCTTTAGTAATGAACCAGTGTAATTAAAGGTGGGAATGTGGAAGAGTTCAGGCACTGGCAACATGTCACATAGTTGGCTGCTGCAATTCCTCAGTGGTTTATCAAAGACTACTCCTTTAATATGGAGATTACACTTATGTACTTGTCTGAACTTGAAAGGCATTTGCCTAATTTACTTATTAATGAGATGTAAATCTATTTGTACGGCACGTCACAAGTTTCCTGAAATCGCTGCTACTTAACCGGTGATAAACCCTATGATTTAAATGAAAAATAATACATTTAGCTTTCCACATTCATTCTGTTAAAAATTGATATAGTCTATGTTAAATTTATTAATATTGCTTGCTGTCATTCAGTTTGCAGCTCTTACTGAAATATGACTTGACAGCGGCCGCATTAAAGATGTATGCCATTGTATTCAACAAAGATTAATGGAGCCCGGTAAAAATAGCTGTAAAAGAGAAAGTGATCCGAATGTAAAATCAGTGAATTAAATGAGGCCTTGCATACCATTTGTTAATATGCATGAGGAGGGAGGCAGCGAATGAAAATGTCTCCCTGCAAAGTTCATTTGGGAATGTTTCAATATTGTCTGAATATCACCAAACTATCGAACAGCAGCTTAATAGAGCCCCGTGTACCACAGAGGTCTGTGTATGTGCCCTGTGCAAAGCTAGAAACAAAAAATAGAATCATTTGCAAACAGAACTGGAAGCCTGGAGTAAAAATAATTATAATATAATCATAATAGAATAAATCCATATGTATGATACATATGGTATAGTTGTCTTTTTTTTCTTCCCCTCTTCTCAGTCTGTCTATAGTGCAGGCTTTCAATATTAAAGCCACGTGTGATATAGAGCTTTAATGTTATATGCTTCTTTTTATGGGAGAATTGTATGCAGTAACACTTAAAGGGCTTAGATTCCAAGGATTTATAAGAGGTTAATATGTCTGTCTGTCTCTGTGTGTGTCATATCTATTCATATTCTGGGATCTATGTAGTGAAAGATTTTGCACACTTCTTTTAATATTATTTTCAAGGGTTGATTTATTTCAGCAACCCTCATTATAAAATGCTACTGAATTCATAACCTACCAGGTTAAGACTTTCAAATAAATTAGCAGTGACAGAAAATAGTATGCAGTAATCATAATGTAAACATAACATATTTATCAATCAAGACACTAAAGTAGTTTGATGGACTTGAGCTATTACTGATAGACTTGCTTTAAGATTTGAATATGTTTGCTACCTCAAGATTTCACAGAATAGACTATTCTGAAATATTTTTCTTCGGCAATTAAAAAGAAATATAATCTGGCTAGATCTTTGGTAGTAAAGTAGTTAATGCACCAGGAAGACTGTCAGCTTGGAGGCAATTTGAAGGTATAACGTGCATATGTACAGTGTAAAACATTGTAGAAAAGCTCTGCCTAAAGCATTAACTTTCCCAAAAGGTTAAAAATCAGTGTTTGAACTCAGAACAATTTAGATGAATTTTTATTCTGAGGTTCAGTTTATTTCACCCACTTTGCAATCTCAATAGGTAGCACAATCTGTATAATATAGCAGTCCACAAACCTAGTTCACAGGATTCTAAGCACCAATCAGGTTTATGCTTCCTTGCTGATTTTGCTGAAGGGGAATGGGCTGGGGCCTTGACCTGGACTCCATTATGGTCACTGATGAAGGAAGGGTTTGGGCCCTGTGCTGGTAAGCTAAGTAGTGTTCCAAGCAGTTATTGTCTGGGTACACCGCAAGAAGGACAGGAGACACTTGTTATGGATTTTAATCAGGCCGCAACTTTATTATATAGATGTCTGGGACTACCCAGCAGATAAAGTGTACAGGTCAAGCAAATCCACGTTTATTCAAATCAATTCTCCCGGGCTTCCACCAGCCCCCCTTTGTTTCCATCCAGGTCCCCCAGCCGACCCCTGGCTTGAACCTTACCATCCATCACCCTTGTAAGAGGGTTAAGGTGGGCTATGAGAATGGGGTGGAGGTGGTGGGGGAGGGGTGGCTCCCTGCTGTACCAATCAGAGGAGTCCCCAACCCCCTCCCCCGTTCTGTTCCTTTATCCAGTATCTCCTTTTAAGTCCTTTACCAGGCCATTTATCTGGTCACTGGTTGCCTTCCCTATGGAGTACCTGCACTGAACATCCGCCCAACCTTACAAAATAAGTTGCGACATATGGCCTACCACCTTTTCTTCTCACCAGAAAAAGCCCATCCTCACACCCGCTGTGGGGAAGGTGAAAAAACCTCACTCCATCGAAGCCAATTCAGGTGGTGCGGGAAAAATTCCTTCCCAACCCCACTTTAAAAGGAGCAACTAGCGTAATGCCCACAGCAGGTCCTAACCCAGCCTGCCATTCACCTCCACTAGGGGAGGGAGGGTGGGTGCTGGCTTCCTCGCTGTGTGGAACAAAGAGACTTGCCCCACCAAGGTTTTGTACCTTTATGTCCTTCGGACGTCACATTCCTGGGGGGGTGGGTGAGTCATTGCTGTAAAACTGACCACCGAGCACCTTTTTTACAGCAGTTTCTGACCTCCTTTCTTCTGCCCCCCTCTCCCCCCCCCCCCCCCAAAGCAGAGCAGCCCTTCCTGGGTAAGCCCCAGACAAACTCTGCCCCACCTTAGGTCCTCCTTTTAAGTCCTTTACCAGGCTTATTATCTGGTCACTGGCTGCCTTCCCTATGGAGTACCTGCACTGGACATCCGCCACAAGGAGGCGCCAGCAATTTACTTGGCTGCCTCCCCCTAAACCCAGCTGGGTTCCCAGACATCGCCAAATGGCCTCTTATCTAGCAGCCCTACTGGGGAGAAAGAACCCATTGTCCCATGTGTGATCGTCAAGGGGCACCAGCAGCTGCATTGTCCTTGACCAAGTACTGCAACAACCTCCCTCCACGGAGGGCCGTACAGGCGACCCATTCTCTGGATCCTTGAATTGACAAGACTCCTTAAGAGAAAACAAAATAAACAACTTGTAAGCCTGGAGCCAAAAATCTCAATTCCACCAACCCTTTGCTGGCTTCCTCACTGTGTGGAACAAAGAGACTTGCCCCACCCAGGTTTCATATGCCCTTATGCCTCACATTTCTGGCGGGGGGGGGGGAGTAGTGAGTCATTGCTGCAAAGCTGACCACCAAGCACCTTTTTTACAACAGTTTCTGACCTCCTTCCTCCCCTCCCTCGCCAGGGCCGTAGCAACAAAGAACGTGACCCCATCCGAACGGTGGCTCCCTCCGAACATATGTCCGGGTGGGGCCCCTTACAATGCAGAAACTGGAATGCGGTATTTATTTTGCCACTTTTAGGGGCCCCCTTCCTTGCGGGGCCCCCTCCGGTCGGAGGGTACGGAGGGCACTCGCTACGCCTCTGTCCCTCGCTCCCGCAAAGCAGAGCTGTCCTTTCTGGGTAAGCCCAGACAAACTCTGCCCCACCTTAGTTGTGGTGCAGTCATTTGTGTTGCATGTGTTTAAGGCCAAACCTACTGTGAATCGCATCCTTAAAAACTGCATATAAGTAACAAAACTTGGAATATTTATATGTGAGGCCATGGGAGCCTTGTATTTCTATCTTTGAGGGGTTAAAAAGGGAACTATCCCAGATCTTTTTAAATGTCTTGTTTTGTACTGAAGGAGTGGGCCAAGCTATAAACATGACAGCTAACTTAAAACATGATCTCTTTTACAGGTATTGAAATTTTGCTATTAAATTGACTCTGTCATTTGGAGAGGAGAAAATCAATGGTAAGTACCTCTCTTTTTCTTCCAAGAACCAAACTAGCAGGCAAGGGAGAATGAGAGCCAAAACCAAGCTAAAACAAAAAGCAACACATTAACTTTTAGTATCTTATCTATTTATTCTATTTTGCTGTCTCCCAAGTAGCCTGGTCTTTGGTTACAACAGTATCAGTCTCTGCCCATGTGTTTAATATCAATTATAACGCAAGCCCATAATATCACATACACCAAATCTACGTGATTTGGGGTTTTTTCATTTTCATTCAACTAGCAGTTTCAAAAGATTTTCATCATTGATATGGAAAATCTCTCACTCTTCCTCTCTCTTCCACTCAGTAGTAAAATGCCCATAGTAAAATGAGCCATAAGGGCCATCTTTTATTTCTTGCATCTCTATAACCCGCAACTGACTTCTGTTGGAGTTTGCAGTGCACCAAGAATGTTGGCTCAGGGTCCAAGTATAAGTTTGAAATGAATGGGGGAGGGGAATGCTTTTCCATTTTGATTGAACATTTCATTACATTAGACTTTGTCATTTTCAGAGTAGGGATTAAATTCTGTCTTGGGGAAACTTTATTGACGTCAGTGGAGCCGTGTCCATGCACAGGAAGGCTGAATTATGCCCATAATATTATGTTTATCTGTATGGACACATAAAAATACATATAAAAAAAGCAAAATGTTTGGTCCTCCTGTTCCCAACTTCATCTGACATAATTAATTAAATCCATCCATAGGGCCACTGTAATTGTACTGACCTCCTTTGTAAAGTGCTTTGAGATCTGCTGCTGAAAAGTGCTATGTAAGAACTAGATATTATTAATAAATAATATTTATTACTGATGGGCAGGAACATGTGACTGCTGCTTCTGAAGTGCTTCAACTTCTGCTATCTCCCACAGACACAGTGTTCTGAAAGGCAAACTCTTTGCTCTCCTTTCTCTTCTTTCTGAGCTAAGTACAAGTTACTCTTAAAAGAATGAAAGGCCCCAGCATAACGTCGTAACAAATTCACATAGTAATAATAGTCTACTCCATAACTTCTAAACATTACTCCTTTACTCGCTGTCATCTTTTTTATTCAACCCACCTCAAATATGGGCACTTATGCCCAATGCTGTGCATCTTCTATGAGAACTGGATGGTTGCCAGTTGTCAGGTTGCCCTCCATCTTGTAAGATGACCATCTGGGCAATCAATGATGGGGAGGCAACCTAATTTTTAAGTAAAATAATATCAGAGATTATTTGAAATGAAGGGATAGCTGAGCAAAGTGCAATCCTTGCAGAAACCATTGTACAACAGCAGAACTATTGATGGAAAAGAGTAAGGCAGAATTGGCATCATTGTAAATCTAAATTTTGCCAACCATTAATTGCTGAAAATTATAGTAAATAAAATAATGAAGAATGGCATCTACTCGGTCTTCCAAACTTATGCATCATATTTTAGGCCAAATTCAGACCTTCACTGAAATCAATCACCCACTAATACCAGGTCTGAAGTTGTAAACAATAACAATCACACTTACCCTATATTTGTTAAAGGCAGAAACGTTTATTTCTTGCCTGAAAAAGTTTGGTCAATTTGCCATATGAAAGAAAAAAACATTTTACATGAAAGAAAAGTAACTACTTATCATTCTGCAAGCTTCACAGAGACTGAATTTCAACATTAAAACACAGATTGTTGTACCACTTGTCTCATTATAAAATGTCTTCAAGATGATCATCAAAGCTGGTGAGGACACTAACCTATGAATCAAGAGACATGGGTTGTATTTCTGGCTTGTCCAGTGAACTGCCTGGGCAAGTCATGTCACTGCTCTGTGCCTCAATTTCCGCAGCTGTAAATTGGGGATAATGTTGCTGATCCCCTTTGTTACACTTTGCGCTCTTCTTATGGAAAGCACTATGCGAAAGCTAGGTGCTATTCATAGTAGTAATAATAATATTTCAGAACCTTTGTAACACGCTTTAGGCGTACAGATTGAAAGTGCTAGGTCTTATTTCAAAAAATGCAGAAGTCCAGATATGACTGGGAGGTCATGTGGATACTGGAATCATAAATATGCAGCAATTGCTTAATACAATGAATTCACAACAGGCATTAATCAAACATTTCTTCTTGATCTTCTATATTTGTGTTCCATCACAGCACTTTTAACATTAAAATCATTTTATTGCTGTTTTGGTGGTGGATGGGGGTGGGGCCATGCAAGAAGGAAAAGACGGAAAAGTCATATAAGTTAAATCAAGAAGGCTAAAAAACAAGCTGCTTACTTAAATGGGAATTATTATTTTTTAAACAGCAAGGCCCCCAAATTTTTCTTTGTGAACAAAAAATTAAGCAAGAGGAAAAGGTTAACGTGATGGTGGGGGTGACAGCATCCCTTCATTTCCCTATGAACAAACGTCATTGCTCAGGGAGCGCGTTGCCATTTAACCTGCTCTGAGTCAGTAACCCCATGTGTTAAATAGTGCCACAGAGGAAAACAAAAGGGGAAAAAGAGGCGCCGCAGCAGCAGTTGTGTTCAAGGAGAAATGTGTTTCACTGCTACAGGAAAAATAAATAAATGAATAAAGCACAGCAAATGACTGTGGCAGTGGCAGGGAAGTGAAACTCCAAATCGGCACAGGCACTTTCCTTAAGACTTAAGTAAAATTCCCACCTATATATGCTTAAACGACTCTTTGAACAATAAAAAGTCATTAGTGACTATAAAATTTTGCAGAAGGCTGATGGAAGGCACTTTGCATTTGACTTTCACCCACTTGATTGGTGCTGTATCTCCTATTTGACTTGGTGCAGGTTCTGGAAGGCGTGAGAGCTCTAAATGAACAGCTGAAGTGACCACAGATTCTGATTTCAGTGATGAATAATACTTAGGACTTACACAGCACTTTTCTTCCTCAAAGTGCATGTTTTTTATGGTCTTGTGTTTACATAAGAAATCATGAAAGATCAACTTAAGAGACTGTGCAAAACATGCTAACTGAACAATTTTCCCATTTTCAATGGTACAGTGGGCACGACCTTTGGGCCATTACCAAAGCCATAACACCAAGGTTGAGAGAGCAAGTGATACACTACTTGATGGCCTGTCAAGCAGAATCTCTAACACATGGCTTCATAAGTATCTTACATTGGAATAATTCTCTTTTTGCATCTCATATACAGTAGCTAACAATGTTGTAGGAAGCTAGGTACCTGACTACCCATCTGACTCCATAGGTGCTATGCATCATGGCTGGCCTCCTTTTATTTTCCCTTTCAACCCCTGCTTTAAAAAGATTGTGGAGACCCTGTAATACCCCAGTTCTAAAATCCTAGCCATGCCCCCGACCTTATGTGTTATTGCTACAGTCAGTGTCCAAAACATGTGCTTTTTTGAGGAGGGTTGGTAAAAACTGAAGCGAATATCAGCTTGTTGGCAGCCCTGCTTCTCCAGACTTCACTTGAAAGAGGAAAAACAATCATTCACATCCTTCACATTTGGTAGGATTGAACATTTCAAGTCCAGGGGCCTGATTCTTTATCTGCTCCATTCATTGCAGGATACACGTATCTGTCACCGAAGCGATGCTTATCCTGTAAAGGGCGTTGATGGGAGAATCAGGCCCCAGTTCATCACCACTGGTTTTTTTTCCTTTCCACTATAGATCAGAACCAAACTACTTAAGAACCTTTCTCCAAACCCAGCATTTGAGAACAGTATAGTAATTCACAGGGGAAAAAAATCTGATCTGTAATATTTGGGCACTAATTTGTAGTTGATTGCCAATTAGGATTTTTTGGTTTAAGCATGAATGTCTGGCAAATGCAAACACTGGCACTTCAGCACAACACATACCTTTTGTTGTTGGGTTTGTTTTTATTTTAATGCAGGGTTTGCTGCAGAGGGATGTCAATGGAGAATGCATTGCAGTATATCCCTGTGTGTGCAATGACATGAACATGACTGCAACCATAGTTACTCTTCTGTGTATTCTGCTGCAGCAATTTCATTAACTGTAAACCTGTTCACTGTTTGCCAATGAGCTATCGCTTGTGTTTGTTTACAAATAGGTTTAGCACTGAAGATTTGTGGGTATACAAGAAGGATCTTTCCACAGAAAGTCATTCTCCCCAGGAAAAAATTAACTAAATTCTACTGGTAAAAATTTACTTTTCAAATACGTTCCACATTTACTATAAATAGCCACAGTCTGTCAACTCAACTAAGCAAGTCCTGGGAGCTTCCCTATTAAATGAGACCATTTGGAAGGCAGCCTTTGTCTTAAATGGGTCTGTAGACAAGGCATGTGTTGGTTTTTGAGTAATCCCAGCCTGTTTATAATCTCATCTATTACATGGAGAGGATATGAAAATAGTTCCCCAATGCATGAAAATTATCTATACTCTAGTGCAGACAATATAGTCAGTCTACTGAAAATAATAGAGTGAACTCAGCTACGCAGTTTATTCCAATGTGTAAAGTCTTTGTACATCATGATATCAAATAAAGTCTACTGAAAACATCATCCTCATATAATTGTATTATACAAGAGTAGTGTCACCTTTTGTTTAGAAAGGAACCATTACACTTTTATGATATACTTTAAGAGGGACTAGATGGTACCATTGATTCTTGTACTAGCATTTTACATCAAAAGACCTATGTCTGCAGTCCAGGGCACTGAAATCACAAATGAAGTGAATTTAATGGTCTAAGTTTGGTCTCCAGAGAACAACAGAATAGTTAGTACCATCATAAAGTCTGACAATGTAGCCCTTTTGGCAGGTTTTTGTTGATAATAGGCTTGAACTGCAATCTTTTTACCATGGTATAAGAGGATCTTTTAAAGCAGGGTTGAGATATAAGAAGGAAGAATAATGTAGGGAAGGCTGCAAAGTACAATATTGTGCACACCTGCACCATACCTAAAGTAAGGTTAATGCAGTAATATCTGTGTGAAAACTGCCTCACCCCCCACATTAAAAGGAGCTTATCATTAGGGATTACCTAGCCACTGCACCAGCTGCAAGTCTTTACTTAAAGACTTAAAGGTAAAGCTCTTACAGTTCCCAATCCAGTGACATTTGCAGCTCACTATAATTTATTGAATATCTTCCAAAGAGCAAACACAAGATTTCTCTTGGTACTGTTTTAGTTGGGTTGTAAACGTTTGCCATTTACCAAGAAGAAAAATAAATAAATAAAGGCAGGCACATTTACACTTTTGCAAAGCATCATGTAATATTCTGAACCTGTCTGTTCATGCTGACTCTTTTCATGTTCAATCTAAACACTGTTTACTCACTTAAAGTCTTCTTATAGCTCAGCTATGAAGTACAGTACATGCACACTTTCAAAGCTTTCATGAAAAAGCAACTTGTTCCCACATTTCATTAGGAAGTGCCATGCTTGTCTAAAGTGTGATTTAAAAAAAAAACAAAACTTCCTGTAATAGGCATCCAGAAATTTTCATTCTTCAGCATTTACAGAGCCATGCTAGCTATATCTTTAGAGACTTAACACAGTGAAGACTCTTCAAAAGAGAATTTACTAAGGTTCTCTCCATTTATGAATGACAACCTATCATTGAAGACTAAAAGGAAATAGTTAAATAAGCCAAATTACATGCTGGGTGATGAAACATTTTCTTCGCCTTCCCAGTAACATGCATGCAAATTATATTAATAGGCTATAATTATGTAAACTTTATTATGTGTGTTAAAGATAACATTAAAATTATAAGACAAATGACACTTAATCATCATTGGAGGATAATGATAAAAAAGTCAGCAAAATTAACAGGCATCATCAAGGTTGTTGTGTTTGCTATAGCTAAAGGAGCATGATGAACCACACCATTTTATTTAATACTACTACTTAACACTTGCACTATGCAGTTCACCTTCAAATGGCTTTACAAACATCAACTAATTAATATACAAGCATTTGGGGCCTGTTTGCTAAATACATTTCCTACCTGTGCAAATTCACATGCTGCACATGCTTAATCTAACTTGTGAGTTTTTATTATTATTTCTTCTTAACCTGTCTGCTTTATCAAAGTGAATTTACCAGGTTAGCAAAATCACACATTGTAGCCTATTGAATACAGAAGAGTTGGATGAAACAAACTGATGATTAATGTGCAGGATCGATCACTTGGAAACACAATCCATATAAAAGCAGTTCTGCTGACACTTCCTATGCGGAGGCAGAACTTCAGCTGGTGTAAATTGGCCCAGCTCCGTGGACTTTAATGGCCCAGCAGAGGATCTGGCCTGTATTGTTTTAATTCCCCTCTTCCTTTTCTCATACTAGGAACATTTCCATGAAACAGAATTGCAGTTGTTTAGTATTTCAATTGATGCTTATTCCTTAGGGAATAAGGGACAGAGCAAGCCTTGCACGCTCCAGAATGCAGAGTCTGGAATGCTGCCTGGTGCTTAAGCGGGCAAGGGTAGACTCATTGTGCTGCACTGCACACCACATAAGAGCTAGGCAGAATTCCAGACCTGCATTCTGGAGGGTTCAAGTCTTGAGCTATCCCTACTCACTGGAGATAACAGGTGTCTCAAAGGGGATGGACATGACTTTACCCATCCCAGACCCCTGCCCTTATGCACCACCCAGCGTAGCTAGCTGCCCATTTGATGGAAACAAGGAGGGGTAAGGTAATATCTTTTATTGGACCAACTTTGATGAACTCCACAAAGTTGCATAGTAGTAGATGTGAAGCCGCTGCGTATCCAGTAGCTCCTGGATGCAAAAGAGACGGACCTACAGCTGGTGTAAATCAGTGGGAGCTATGCTAATTTATTCCAGCTGAGAATCTGGCGCAAACGTCCACTGGTGTTGTCTCTGGCATGACGAGGCTCTAGACTGCAAAACTATATTTAAAGTTAGCCTGCGCCTATTGAGGTCAATGGCAATACTACCATTGACTTCAACAAAGGGAGGTCTTTATTTCTGTGCAGTGTACAGGAGGACCAAACACACTTTTGCCACTAAACAAATACTAGTAATTATAATCACCTGTTAAGCGTCTCTTCATGATGTTAAGAACGATGCGCTAAGGGCGGAATGAGCAGGAGGAGCTAATGACTCATTACAAAAAAAACAGCTGATTGGTGCCACAAGCCTGGGAGGCGGGAGAAGTGGAGCAGCGATGGCGTGCTCGGGGAGGGGGCGTAGCAGAGGTGAGCTGGGCAGCTCCCCACCCCCCACCCTGAGGCACCCCCGCGGCAGCTCCCCACCCCCCCGGCCCGGGTAGCCATGCGGCAGCTCCCCACCCCAGCTCACCTCTGCTCTGCCTCCTCCCCGAGCACACCGCCCCCACTCTAATTCTCCTCCCCTCCCAGGCTTGCGGCGCCAAACAGCTGATTGGCGCTGCAAGCCTGGGAGGCGGGACAAGTGGAGCGGCAACCGCGCGCTTGGGGAAGGGGCGTAGGAACGCTGTAAAAAAAAATTGGGGGCACCGCTTTTTGGCGCCCCCAAATCTTGGTGCCCTAGGCAACCGCCTAGTTTGCCTTAATGGTAGCACCGGCCCTGGCCTCAAATGTGGGCATCATCCAACACTACCTGTGTGGCCCCGAAGATGTCACATGGGCCGCAGCTCTGTGCTAATTGGGCCAGAAGCAGCCCGTGGGCCGCAGGTTGAGAACCACTGAGGTAGACATTTAGGGATTGGCATCAGAGAAACCATTGATGTACAGTGCCTGTCTGATGTCCCAGGCAGTTAGAGACAGGTTCCTTCCTAGCTCACTGCTTTTCAGCTGAGGAAAGCCTTAACAGGACCACATGGCCCAAAGACATAACCCAGTTTGTTTAGGAATTAATCTCATCTTTTTGTTTGAATGGCAATGTCCCTAATATGATACTAGCAAATTACTGAAATAGAATCACACCAAAATCCCTCTGTCATCCTGAAATATCATATTTCCCCATTAAGTTAATATAGTACGACTGCAGTGGAGTAGAATGGAGGGGCTTAAACAGACTAACTCTTCTATGGCATTGATATACTGGCAGGGTTTTGCTGCAATCTGCTAATAGTCTGCAGTTTCAATATAATAGAAAAGCACTTTGAGGACAGTCCCTTCAATAGTATTATCTATTGTTGAATTTAGAGTTTTCCTAATTCAAATATTTTATGCAAATATTCCGGATCATCAGGGAACAGGACATATTTTGAACTTGCAGTTTTACATCAGGAACATGTGAGAGTCTTACAGGGCAATAATAAATATTTCCTCAGTGTTCATGCATTTGGGTTGGGGATGAAAAAATTCTTGGTGACCTTAGTCCTATCTAATTGTTTTAATAATAGAACATGAAGGTCGTAGAGGTTTTACTGTGACACAACTGTAAAATGCTCTGGCACTTTGCCATGCAAAAAATAATCTGATTTTATTCATGTGTTTCAACAATAACAATGGAACAACATTTGTTTATTATGAACTGAGTTACAAAAGATAACTCAAGGTAAAAGACTGCATTGTACTGAAACATCTTTAAAATATAGCAAAACACCACCAAGATTACGCTGATATATTATGGTAGTTCAGAAACATAATTGACTGGAGCATCTATCCACACTGAGCCACAGGATGTTTTCTGGTAAAACGTTACCAGTGGTGAGTTATCAAAGCCCCTCTGACTCTTCTAGGACATACCCCCACATCCAAAAGTATATTGCTGTATCTCTCTTGTATGCATTATAAAATCTTTAGATAGTGCTTTTGCTTCCTATTTCTGTCTTAAATAATCTATATTAGTCCTGCATGTATGAGAAGTAATAGCTGCATGTGAATGGGCATCTTTTAATACTATTGAAAAACAAAGAAAATAACCCTGATTTACTGATGTCTTAGATTGCTGTAAACAGTTCTGTGTATCAGCCTTTGATCTGTATTTTCTAAACTTCATAACAAAACTTCAAGAAAAAACTATTAGCTGCAAATTAAACATTCTCATGGAAGCCAAGAATTATTTTTCAGGACAGAGGGCTCAATTTCCCAATCTCAGGTGTATGATTAAAATCAATTAAATCACTCTTCCAATGTCAGCGGCAAGATTCTCCTGACAAATGAAATTATGCGAGAAAAGTGTTCTCTTCACTCTTCAACCCTTTCTCAGCATCACTCACATCCACAAATGAGATCAAAATTTTCAGCTCGGGGATTTCAGAGATATTTTCCATAAGAACATGAAAAATCCCAGGAACCCTATGTAAGTAGACTTTATAGTCTCTAGTGGTGAGATTTTGATGGCCTCTGTATGTTAGATATATTCATGACTAACTAAAATGAAAAGTTACAGAGTGAAAGTTAACTATTTGGGGACCATACTAGCATTTTTTTCACATATTAAAGTTTTAATGGCAGAATTATGTGCTAGATCCTATGATACATGTAGTAACCTTTCTGTGCCTCTTTTCATTCACAAGGAAGTCCCTGGTGGTATTTTCTGATTGAAAAACTGAATTTTATCAATTTCTTTCAGTCCCTGCACATATAAATCTGGCAGGCAGGCCAGACTTCAAATGACCACACCATTTGCAAAGGCCCTAAAGGGTTAATAGTTATTTACAGTAGCATTCCTTGCAACAAAACAGTGCACTTCTCTTAAAAGGAAATATTTTCACAGGAAATAAGAGTTGGAACACAGAGATATCTCATTTCCAGAGGTGTTCTGATGTGGTTGCACTGTAACTTCAGCAAATTATTTACCTCTTAATTTGTTAAAACATATGGGCTTAGAGGTAACTTTGCCCATGAGGCATACATCTATATTATATGCTTGTTTGGTTTGACTTCATTTTCCTTGGAGACTTGAACAAATGTTTTCTGTATTTCAGAAGTTTCCCCCCCATCACTCACGTGTTTGAGGCAGCAGTGTTACATACGTATTTTGTTTCTTTTGACTGTGTTTCAAAAGGAACATTCTAATTTACAGAACAACATGCAGAGTGTAGCAATATTTTAGGAGGTGAAAAGCGGCCTATTTATTCACTTGCAAGAGAGATTCTTTCCCGATCAGTCCAGCCTAGAAGTGCCTGATCCATCCCAGGAGTTCTGGTTTTTTGGTTTCTTTTTCAGCTAACTGCAAACGGTCTATATCTAAACAAAGTGGTAAGCAAAGGCCTTTCATACATCATCATCATCAATATGAAAAGGCAATGTGTGAAATGTTACAACATGGTCCATGTGAGGGTAGAAGAAGAATAACAATTACCACAGGTTTATCAAAAGTATTTTTACCAGAAACAAATTAAAACATATAGACTACTTAGATGTTCTTAGATGACATGTAAGCTAGCGATATTTGGTAACTGTGGTCTTGGATGGATTATGCTTCATACACAGGATAGCAGCTAGCAGAGTGAAAGGTGCAGCTTTACTAAGAGGTTGCACTTACTCAAAACAGTTGGCTAGGTGTGTGCCATCCACAGTGGTGCAAATAGAAATCATTTCTTGATGGTACTGCACTCATGGGAGGGACACAAGGAGTGGGGCATGTGACCTCCCTACGTGACCCTCCATGTGACTCCTCTCCACCCCGCCCCCAGCCTGGGGTCCCCACGCTCTCCCCGTCCCCTCCTACAACCCCCTTTGTATATACAAACATCAACATGCTTAATTACTCACTTTCCCCCCAAATATGTAGTATTCAGTCTGTTTATATGGAATATGGAAGTTGGCTGAGGAGCCATTTCAGCATATGCATGACTTACTAAAAGACAAATTTTAAGTAGAACTGTATCCTAAACTGCTTTATGGTATTGTACCCAAACATTGCATTTCAATGCGGCATTCAACGTCCTTTATAGGAACAGACTCCTGAAACTCTTACCAGCCCACAAAAGTGGTCCATAGTCATGCAAATAGTCCCATTGTCTTCAATGGGATTGATCAAATGATTAAGGGTTTACAGGATTAGGTTCCAACTTTGTAAATTGTTGTGGATGAAACTGACAATGCCTGAGCTGTCAGATCAGAAGGAGTTTCTTTCGAATAAAAGTGGGCAGATGTGTGATAAGTCTTAGCTCCGTTGCTAAGATGAGGAACATATTTTCAGCAAAGTTCTTGGCAGATTCCTGAGGTGGCTGGTTTAAGGCATTCTAATCTTCACTTATAGTTCTCTCACCCACAAAGCTGGAAAATGAGGCATTTGTTTTCTTTGTTTTGCTGCTCCAGTTCCAGTTAACAAAATGCATGTTAGACTAGTTTGGCTGCAAAGAAGAATTCTATGTACACTGAGAACAACACCTGATTCCTGTAAGGCTTCAGAACTGGGCTGACATCAGAATCCAAACATCCTCTTGTCAGTGCAAGCAGAGGAATTCCTCTACTGATTTGGACTTGCTGTGATACAGTATGGATGTCATGGATAATTCAGACCAATGGGGAGAAACAGAATCAAAAACACTGTTTAAACACCTTCTATCCCCTCCACTCTTCCCATATGCTAACAAACTTAAACAAAGCCCCACCCCCACCCCTGGATGGCAGGGCTAGCCCTAAGTCTTTCTGGTACCCTATACCCATTAAAAATCTCTTGCTGGTACTGCGTACTGGAGGGTACCATCCGACTTGCATTCTGGGCCATCCATGATATCATCACCAGTGAGCTGGATAAATGTTTAGAAGTATAGCAGAGTTATTTTGACCCATAGGCCTAAATGGCCACTTTTGATGATATCAGTATGATGCACAACAGAGATAATGAATAAGAACCAGAAGCGTTTTCTACATCCTCATGTCGCGGGTAAAGCAGTAAAGATGTTAAAGTTTGGCTGAAATAAGATCAATTATTTTTTAATTTTATTGGCTCTTGGGCTGAGTTGCTATTATCAAGATTCTCCAACTCTTAATCAGCATTCAAACGATTTATGGCCCACAAGAAAGGTTTCAGCAAGCACAGCTAATTCCAAGTTGGGATTTACACAACTTCCCTCACTTCGTGTATCTTCTTTTATTACAGTATTGAGGAACTGCAATGAAATTTTATTTCTTTGGAATTGACATACAACGATTGAAGTTCCCAAGAGTAAAACCAGGCAAGAAATCCTCCAGAGGGAGTTTAGAGGCTGGAAGTCGTCTGCTCCTGTGTTTTTTTTTTTTTTTTTTTTTATTATTTAAGTCTTTTGTTTTTTTTTTTTTTTTTTTTTTTTCTTGAGAAATCAACACCTCAAAGTGTTTTTTGGTTTTCCATTTGTTTATTCCAGCCATAAATATTTTATTACTTAAAAAGGGAAGCAGTGTTTGCTTCTAATTGTTTTTGATTAAATATGCTAATTACATTTTGGAATATTAATGACACATACAGTACTAAATGTTTTAATAATGCAATGAAATAAGCTCACAAATATAACAACAAATTAACCTGAAACTGCTACATGGTTTTCATAATTTTATATTATAATACAAATCTGAGAGAAAATAAATCAAAGTCCAACCAACATTTCTGGCTTGCCAGTTAAAATTCAACTAAACTAAAAAATCCAAAAGAAACCAGAAACCACAACATTTTGGGCACCTTTGTAATTATAGTATCCAAGTTAATTAATTAATTAATTAAAAAATTGAACCATTCCATTAATAGCATGTTGACCATGGGATGAGTCAGAGCAGATACAGCATTGTTAAGACTTTAATCCAGTTAACTCATTCTAGGGTAAATCCTTCACCCAATTTGTAGCCTGAATAACCAGGAAAATTCTGCAGGCATTCAGGAGGATGGAATTCTTCTTCAGCCAGGCTTCAAAGCAGGGCAGCTACTCTCCTGTTCCACCCCTTTCCACCTCATCAGAGCCACCTCCATGAGGTGGACTATCCAACAATTCTGTTTAATCAAGGAGCTACTGGTCCTGCTTGTTCTCTGCTTCAATCCACGGGACCCCTGCATAGACCGCTACACAAAATCTAGGCATCTTGCCTCTCCAGCACATCAGTACTGGTTTCATAATAGTTTGCGCACACACCATGGTTTTAGCCCGATACCAAAGACAGAGTCTGCAGTTGCATTTGGGAGGCATGGGCAGTTATGCCATAGCTGTGCTCCTCAATGTAGCCAGTTGAAAAAAATGGGGGGAAAGTTGCAATAAATACTCACCATAAGTAACACTAAAAAGAATTACAGTGGTGGAACTCATACTATTAAAATGGTGGTTCCCATAATGTGGTGGTGGTCCATGGAGCACTTCCAGATGGTACACAGAGCTGCTTTCTTCACCATGTAGAAGGCTCTGTTGGTCCTCAAGCAGTGAGGGAAAACAAAGAGGTGCCAGAAGGTTAATAAATGTGTTAGATGTTTTAGGCAGAGAGTTGTCTTGTAAATTCTACTTTGGGATGAGTTCAGGACCAGACTTAGGACTTACTGGACAAAAATCATCCCTTTCATAAATGGGTGAAAGTCCTCAATGGATTTACACTTGTTTACACAAGGGCTGAATTAGATTGATTTTGAAACAAACTTTTTTTTTGAGGATCAACAACAACAAGCTATAACTTGTTTACAAATTATTTTTCATTTCTTCGTGCCTCTGCCCTTCCTCCTTCTGTCCCAGACTGGAAGCAGAGTCTTGAAATATTGTGAGAAAAGCTATTCTCATAGTATTTCTGGTCCAACGGGAGGCAGGAAGTAGTGAAAATCATGTTAAAGCATTTATTATTGGGAGATTTGCAGACCCAAAGGGTTCAGATGGTTTGGAGAAGTATCAAGTATTGTGGGTTCTGATCCTCTTTGAATCATTTGGTGTTCAGCCTTTACTTGCAGATTCCCAAATTACAGAGGACCTGATCCTATTCCTAATGACATCGATGGGAGTTTTTTCACAGCCTTCGGTGGGAGGTGAATCAAGCCAAAGTAACCTGAGGAGAGTTTTCAGCTCCTTCTTACTTTCTGCTCCTTGCAGGATTGTACATCAAGATGGTGATTCATTAAAGAAGGACCTTTCAAAGATAGTTGCTGGTAAGATCTACTTTCCAATGCATGCAATAACATAATAGATCTCAGAGGTATGGCAAGACTGCATATGAGTGGACAGTGAATAAATATACGAGGAGCTAATTAAAGATATAAACTGAGATCAGAAAACTTTTTGAAAGGCAATGCAATGTAAATGGAATATTTAAATATCATTCTTTGGAACTGGAGGTATTTTAACTTCACAGTCAAGGCCAAAACCAGAGAATCAAACAAAGGAAAAAGCACTATCTGCTCACAAAGGTGTAACATGAACTAAAGATAGGGCTGTGACAACAGAAGGCTTTATCCGACTGCTCTTTCAGCAGCTTTTGATTCCCACCCAAGGGATAACTCACCTCTTGGGCTCCATCAATCCACTTCCATTCTATGAAACCTCTGCCACCTCTCAAATCTGAGAGTGATGAATTAGGGGAGACAGTGTGTTGCTGTGTACATGTCTGCACAGAGGTGAGTTGAGAATATTCATCTCATTTCACTTGTGACCTTTTTTTATTCAGCAAACCTGAAAGGTCTGGGCTGCATAATCATATCTTGGGACACAAGATAAGTGAACTAATATATAAACAGTCTAATGTTTACATGACCTTATGATTTTACAGTCCATATAAATTTTTAATTGGACTCTTAAAATATAGTAAACAGCTATTATACAAATTAAGTGGTAATAGGTATTTTTATTTTTATTCATGAATTAATCTTAAAGTAAGCTGATTACATAAATCTTCAGCCAAGCAGTAGCTAATCCTAGGTACAAACATTATTTTGACAAGATACAGTCAAACAAACATTTTTGTGGCAAAATGTTATCAGATACTAGCAAATAATTAGGCTAAGACATTCCCTTCAATGTGAGCATTTTAGAGCTGTGATCATTAAGTGAAGGTACTGGGAGCAATCCAAAAGGGAACACAATATTGTAAGCACTTCAGAGTTCCTTTGTGGATTCTGATTAGGCTGCTGGACTCACTGATGTTTTCTTAAGTAAACACATTCACATATTGCAATGGTGGGGAAATCTTTATTAAATTAATGGCAAACAAAATGATGTTCATGTGAAGGAAATTATTATTCACCAAAATCTGTATTGCATTTCAAAAGAAAACAGGGGAGGTGTTGATTTAAACCACAAATGGAATGGAATTTCAGCTTAGCTCTGAGCATCCACAGTGAGCCCGTAGCCCCTAGTTTATGTCATTGTGAGAAAGAAATGATAGAGAAAGAAAAACATGTCTGTGTGCATATGTTAAAGCTGGAGTACCATTGCATACATTGAGCTCTCACGCTACAGCTCCTGCATGGATCTGAATCAGTTTTAACATTGCTTGTGTTTATTTCTTTACTTGCATTTACTCTGGTTCTCAAACAGTGGTATTTTTTTTTAAAAAGTACCTGTAATAACATCGTTAACTTACCCAATAGTCTGAATGGACTATTGATTAGTAGGTAATAAATAAAGGAGGTTTTAACAATGCTTATTATTTACTGGATCTGGTAAATACCTAATTAGAGGGTTATTGAATTTGAACAATGGTTGTTTGACATGATAGAATGTAGAGCAGTGGTGAGCAACCTGCGGCCCGTCAGGGTAATCCGCTGGCGGGCCGTGAGACAGTTTGTTTACGTTGACCGTCCGCAGGCACGACCGCCCGCAGCTCCCAGTGGCCACGGTTCGCCATTCCCGGCCAATGGGAGCTGCGGGAAGTGGCAGCCAACACGTCCCTGTGGCCTGTGCCTCTTCCCGCAGCTCTCATTGGCCGGGAACGGCGAACCGCGGCCACTGGGAGCTGCGGGCGGCCGTGCCTGCGGACGGTCAACGTAAACAAACTGTCTCATGGCCCACCAGCGGATTACCTGACAGGCCACGTGCGGCCCGTGATCCACAGGTTGCCCACCACTGATGTAGAGGAATATCTCCTTAAGTGACATTATAGTCTATTGTGCAAAAGCCTACTTAGAGATTTTTTTGTCATAGGCTGTATGTCTGATGAAGCTATTGGGTCAGTGACGTGGCTAGTGATACAACATCCTCTAATAGCTCCTTGAGAGTCAGTATCACTGTCTGTAAGGTGAGTATTGCGATCACACATGCACAATACATCTTGATGCAAAAATATCCTTTGAATTTTTGTCTAATCACAAAAATGGACTAGAAATAAGCACTATGTAAAATGAAATACCCTGAGTGTTCTCCTTTGATCCCCAAAGAATACCTGAATCTATCCATGATCCTAAATTAGAGCACAGAGTTCAATCCTGTAATGTGCTGAATGTCTTCAACCCCCACTGAATGTAAGCATTCCGCACCTGACAAGATCAGGCCACAATGCTTAATTGTTAGCTAAATTTCAACAGACTGTGAATTGCTAAGGCTTTGTATTGAATCTGTGAAAACAGGGAGTTATCAAATTCTCTGTACCAACAAACATAAAGTAGCATGATGAACATTGATATAATACTGAGGATTTCTCCCCTATTGGGATATTTACCAAGGAGACATGCTATTTACATTTAGTCTGACAACAGACAACAATACACATTCAGATGTGCTAACATACATGTAAAGTAGACATTGGCCCAAGCCCCCAGTTCAGATGTGGATTTCAAACAACCCAAATTAAGTAGGTGTTTGGGTCCATGGTTTTGGTTTAGCCCATTCGAAAGAAAAGAACAGTTGGAAATATCTGGATTAAGATTTTCACCCTACCCACCCAAAAGTGAAGGGGTATTGAGATGTGGAGTTTGGGGACCCACATCTAATCTATCAGGAGGCACAGCACAAGAGACATGGCAATGGGACTTTGGTGGCTTTACACTACCTCGCACCTTTGGGATCTAGGGGCTAAACTCTTGTTTCTTTAACTTATTTCAAGTGTCCCTGAGGGACCATCTGACAGCCCAGTACAGCAACATAGTAGTGTGTTCCAACCATACCTCTTATTTCCCCCAAGAGGTCCCCTCCAATCCCTACACTAGTAGGTTCAGAGAGCCATTACGCATCCCCCACTGCTCTGGGAATAATTTGCACCTGGCGTTATCTGGCAGTTTTCTGACCCCTTTGTTTTGGAGGAGCAATGCCAAGTGGCCAGAGCACAATTCAGAACTGGGGCTAATACTTGGGCATTTATCTAATGTAAAGATAAATAATATATCTTGAACTAATTTGCATAAGTTTTGCATATTTTAATCCTATGGGGTTTTTTTCTCATTAGTTGCTAGAACTTGGCATGATCCAAATTCCTAATCTCAAATCAATGTTTAGGATAAGTACAGTATGTCTGAATGCCTGCAGATTTTCAAGAGTTAAGAAATAATATTTTTTACTGGAAGATGTGCATTTGAAAGTTCTCATAAGCAAACCAATTGTTTGGCTTTCCACTTACAATGTTTGGTTTCTTGTTACATGAAGTACAGAGCGTGTAACTAAGCTGCTGCTCATTGTTTAAAAAAGTAAACTGCAAATCTCTCCAAGCTGCTCTCTTGTTTTATTTCTAGATTCTCTTTGCACAAACACATACAGTACATACTGTAAAATGGATTATTATCCTAAATTGGGGCCTTGGTGCATAACAAGTAAGGCAAAAACAAGGTTCAGTACAATTAACCAAAAACTTCAGCCAACATTTTAAATAATGACCATTGATTTTGGATGCCTCTCTTTTTCTATGCTCAATTTGGGACACTTCCAGCCACTCCCAGTCAGTGGTCCTCTTTTATGTTTGACCTTAATGTGCTGAAGAGGTAGCGACTGCAAGCCTTTGGCAAGCTAATCTGCCCAATTCCAGTGAAGCACAAAGACAAAATATACTGTACATTGGAATAACCTGGTTTAGAGAACGCAGCATATTTCAGTAAGTGATATTCACCCACTAGAGCTTTGCAAAAAATCTCACCAGCAATCAAGGTGCCTACATGTTCAGCAGGGAGCACTAAATCCTAGCTTTTCTGAGCTGCAGCAGAGCCTGAGGGAACAGTCCTGCTGGAATGGAGTTTACAGAAAGATATGCAGAGTGGCTGCCTGCAGTAATCACTCTGGTGCCCCCTGCTGCCACTCCTTCTGCCAAGTGTCTCAGGCTTAGGCCCTAGACCAGAACATCCCGAGAGCAGCCCTGCTCTCCACCCACCTTCTCACTTTCCCTGTCCTTTCTCCTTGGTGACCTTCCCCAACCACATTTTTCTCCTTCCCTTATTGCCGTTCTGACCACAAACTTGGCCCACTAGCTCTCTCTGTAGTTTTGTGATCCCAAGAAAGCTCTCACAGGAGCACACAGATTGTCAGAACTAGTCTACTCCAGCTGTTGCAGTTGTCCAGACACCCTGGAGCATGGGAGTAGCCTGTTCTCCATCACTGTTGTCCTCTCCTTCTCTGTGTGGCAAGGAATAGTGGGGGAGCAACCATCAGAAGCAGGTGGATCTGAATCCTGCATGCTAAAAAGAAGAGCGGGAGCATCTTACATTGTCTGTAGTTTCCACCACAAAGGATCACTAGCTTCGGGGAAATATTTGACAGTTCAAGATGCTAGCTCTAAGCAGCTGCTTATTAACTTTATTCCTAAAACCACTAATGAGCAAATATTTGAACTAAAATCTGACACACCCAGGGTAGTGCTAGTTTGCAAAACCCAACCTTCCTCTGATACATCAGCCATTTATTGCCACACTTCCAAACAAGCACTCCCTCCACCAGGACTGTGGACTAACATGAATCCTACCCTAGCAATAATTTTATAGGGTGTATACCATTTCTTGTTTAAACCAATACACAGGGCCTGATTTTTCCATTGCCCTGAACATTACTACATTGAAATCACAGTGTTTTCACCCACTGACACCATACGCAATGGCACTGAAACTGTGTCCAGAGAATGATTTTATAATGCTTGTAAACACAGTATTAAATGCTAGGTCTGCAGTGGCAGAATGTCATGTTCTACTGACATAGTTGCAGTGCTCATATGGACACGGCATAATATAGCTGAGGGGACAACCTGTCCAGAAAAATAAAAAGAAGAAATAGACAGAAAGTGGGTGATGGTTATTAGCCAGCCTATGAATCAGAGAGTAACAGGCATAGAACAGTATCAGAGGGGTAGCCGTGTTAGTCTGGATCTGTTGGGCATAGAACAGACATTCATTCATGAGCCTGGATGCCCCTGACTACACCAGGTTGAGAGTTAATTACTTCTTAAGGAGGCGGCCTCAGCATAGCCTCACTCATTCCTGCTATATCCACCCTCTCTTTTCTCCTCCCTTTCACACCATGCTTTCAGGCTAACAATCACACTGTTCTTTCTTTCCTTCTACATCCCTTTGGCTGTTTTTGTCTACTAGGGACCTATTCCACTCACTCTATTTCTCCAGCCCCATTCTCTATGCCCCGCTCATTCTGTTCCTGAATTATGACATTCACATATGGGTGGTACTATACTTCCTATTACACTCTCAATATGCTGTCAGGATCGTTTTGATATTGTCCTTGGCCATGCATCAAAACTGTTGCCAAAGTAAATTTAAAAGCCACACTCAGCAGTTAGAACCTCATCAAACGTTGAATTCTGATGGTAAAATTTCACCTCTATAGCTGGGTTCAAAATTAAATTGAAATGTGTTTGCATCAATACAAATGTGTTTGCATCAATAAATGATGATACCTAGCACTTACATAATACTTTTCACATAGATCTCAGTGCGCTTTAGAAAGAATAAGTATTATCAAAGTGTTTTACAAAGTGGATACTGGGCCCAGGTCTTGGCTATAGCAGAAATGTGCTTGGCACAAGACCCAAGGTGGGGGACAAAGTTGACTTTATGTCACATTTGCATTGTGCTGGCTGGGAGCCTATTCAGCCTCTGGCACAACTTAGTATAGCCTGGTTCTAAAATGAGCCTTGCTGACCATGGGCCCTCCCTTCTAACCCTGATATTCTATGATTCTATGAAATGGTTGTTCCTGAATCTTGGGGTAGATGGAGTACAGCAGCTCCCCATCCATGCCCCTTTGGGCCAGATATGCCCAGATAAGCTTAGGAGGTCAGTCAAGTTGACTTCACTGCCCCTTTGTGCTATCAGAATGACCTAACGGGGCCTCACAGGGCCAGCTAATCTGGATCAGTTACATCATTTCCATTTGTTTGCAGTTGGAGAAAGTGAGGCACAGGAAAGGCAAGTAACTTTACCAGTGTCACACAGCAGGTCAAGAATAGGTTTCAGGTCTCCAGACTCCCAGGTCCATCCCATATACACTGAACCCTTTGTTTCCATAATTGTATAGCAGTTCTCAAGTATGGAAGTCATCGCAAATATTCTGTTATTTACTAATCATATACATTTTTATGCCGTAATATTCAATGTTTTTTACATTCAATATGGTATTTTCATCTCCGTTTTTCTTCTAAATCTAAAGATGTAACATTTAAAGAAAAAGGAATCTTCAGCAAGAAACAGTCCAAATAAGCATTACAATTTTCAGGTTTCAATTACTCTAGAAGCGTAATAAGAAAACTCCCCCTACAGGCTTTCTCTTGTTAATGCAAGGTAAATATACATTTTCAGGCAATGATTTGTCCTGCTAAATATATGGTAAGTTATAAAGCCTGCCCAGAATACGTTAATTGCCTTCATAGCGGAAGAAGTATTTTCATCACACTATTGTATAGCTCATTTTCTTTATGAGATGAATAATGCAATCAGAACACCCACTCTCTTTTCCTCAGTCTCTCAAAACAAAATAGACTAGTTTAACTACAAATGTGAAAGTTGCATTTGCAAATGGCTAACAATTATCCTGTACATTTTTGCTCTTTATTACCAGAACTGCACTAGAACCCATGGGCCTAGAGCCAGGGATTACAGGGTCTGAAGCAAACAGTACTTCCTCATTGCCACCAGCTGCCCACAGAGGAGTATCACCAAGAAGTACTGAGATGTTAAGCTCTGCAGGATGTCTCGCCATAAGGCACATGAGCAACAGTCCTGATTCTGTGATTGGCTGGCACTCTCCATATAAACCAGGAAGTCACTTCTGGAAGTTGTGTGAGCAATGCAGACCTCTGGTGTGCTTCTGCCTGAGATGCCAATCCCTGCTGCAACTCGCCTGGATCCTGGATACTTGACCTTGGCCCAGCCTTTGACCCTGATCTTGGTTTACTATCTTCAACTTAGGGCCATTGCTGACGCTGGTGGAAGACCTTGGCCAGCCTAACCCCTATTCTCGCCTCAGGCTCTCAATTGGGTAATGGACTCTGACTCTGAAGTTTTGACCTGGCCAGTCCCTGGACTGACCTTCGACTCTTCAGCCCAGACACTGAGCATTTCACCCTGCACACAAGCCACCTATGATCCAGCCCTGGCTACTTGGCAAAAACATGTTTTCTTTTTACCTATTTTAAGAGAAGAAATGAATGAGAAAATTATTTCCTTCTTTTCTACTGAAAAAGTTAGTACTGCTTTATTTACCAAATGTCTGTTGTCTCAAGACATTCATCATGAACTAACATCATGAACTGGATACCAACAAACCAAGTGCAGCACATTTCCAAGTAACATTAACAAATACATGTTTAAAGCTCCAAGTTATATTATTATTTTAAGTTTCAGAGAGGATCTGTATTGTGCGTATGTGTTTTGAATAAATTACAGATCTGAAGTGTATCATATTCTGTATTCAGTATATGATGGTCAAAACATAGATGGAAACTATGATGTTCTTCTTGGCGATATTTATGTAGGTTCTGTCACTGGCTTAAGGTTTAAATAAAATCTGATCACAAAACAAATTCCCGTATTCCAAAACAAAACGACCACCACCGCCTCACTTAAATTAGAAAAGAACAAGTATGTCTTGATAAACTTGATCTTTATACGGCTAGCTCCTTTCTAGTGCAGCTATTCCTTTAGAACCCTCATTTTCTGGTGGTCAAGTTTATTATTTAACATAAAACTTTTTTGTGCATTGGAATTTTTCTTCCCTCTCCCACCCCTTGCTTTTATTGAACCCTTTATGAAGTTCAGTGGATTGGATAAAATGCAAGCCAGAACTAACCCCTATTTGATTTGGTTTTATAAAACCCAAATTAACCAGAGACTTTGCAAAAACTCAGCTTTCTTACCCCATCTCTATTTTTTAGTTATTTAATTTATTTCAATGGTATTTCTAATCATGTTGGTGGGAAAATATCGGTTTAATTTTACTTAATGAACAAAAAAGATAGGACAGTGTAGTGCTAACGCCATGTGTTAGAGAGAGGCCACCCGGTTCTATAAATGCAGTATAGGTCAATTCAGCCTGGCTCAATGGCTGATGCACACGCACCTAAGGAGATGAGAGAAAAAACAAAAGAAACACTGGTTCTGTAGATCTCTCATTGCTAGATTCACTTTTTTAAAAACAAGGTGCCCAACTTTAGTGTGCAGGATTCTTCTGTCTGTAATAGCACCCTAAGGGTATGTCTACACTACGAGGGTAGTTCGATTTCACTTAAATCGAATATGTGGAATCGATATTGCAAAGTCGAACGTGTGTGTCCACACTAAGGACAGTAATTCGACTTTGTGAGTCCACACTAACGGGGCAAGCGTCGACATTGGAAGCGGTGCACTGTGGGCAGCTATCCCACAGTTCCCGCAGTCCTCGATGCCCATTGGAATTCTGGGTCGAGCCGCCAATGCCTTCTGGGTAAAAAAATGTGTCGAGGGTGCTTTTGGGTAACTGTCGTCATCCGTCCGTCACTACCGCCCTCCCTCCCTCCCTGAAAGCGCCGGCGGGAAATCAGTTCGCGCACTTTTCTGGTCAGTGACAGCGCGGACGCCACAGCACTGCGAGCATGGAGCCCGCTGCGACCATCGCTGCAGTTGTGGCCGTTCTCAACGCCTCGCAGCTTCTCATCCACCTTTCCCAGAGGCAGATACAGAGAAATCAGGCGAGGAGGCTACGGCACCGCAGTGAGGGCCTGAAGTATGAGAGTAGCACAGAGCTGTCAGAAACCACGAGACCCAGCGCCGAGGACATCACGGTGGCAATGGGTCATGTGGATATTGTGGAACGGCGATTCTGGGCCCGGGAAACAAGCACGGACTGGTGGGACCGCATAGTGCTGCAGGTCTGGGATGAATCCCAGTGGCTGTGAAACTTTCGCATGCGGAAGGAGACTTTCCTCAAACTTTGTGAGTTGCTGTCCCCTGCCCTGAAGCGCAATGACACCCGGATGCGAGCAGCCCTGACTGTCCAGAAGCGAGTGGCCATAGCCCTCTGGAAGCTTGCAACGCCGGACAGCTACCGGTCAGTCGCGAACCACTTTGGTGTGGGCAAATCTACCGTGGGGGTTGTTGTGATGCAAGTAGCCAACGCAATCGTTGAGGTACTGCTCTCAAAGGTAGTGACCCTGGGAAACGCGCAGGCCATCATAGATGGCTTCGCCGCGATGGGATTCCCAAACTGCGGTGGGGCTATAGATGGAACTCACATCCCTATCCTGGGACCAGACCACCAGGCCAGCCAGTACATTAACAGAAAGGGCTACTTTTCAATGGTGCTGCAAGCACTGGTGGACCATAGGGGACGTTTTACCAACATCAACGTCGGATGGCCGGGCAAGGTTCATGACGCTCGCGTGTTCAGGAACTCTGGTCTGTTTAGACGGCTGCAGGAAGGTATTTACTTCCCGGACCACAAAATAAGTCTTGGGGATGTGGAGATGCCTACAGTGATCCTCGGGGACCCACCCTACCCGCTAATGCCCTGGCTCATGAAGCCCTATACTGGCGCCCTGGACACAGAAAAAGAACTGTTCAACTACCGGCTGAGCAAGTGCAGAATGGTGGTGGAGTGTGCTTTTGGCCGTCTCAAGGGGAGATGGAGAAGCTTACTGACTCACTGTGATCTCAGCGAAACCAATATCCCCATTGTTATAGCAGCTTGCTGTGTGCTCCACAATCTCTGTGAGAGCAAGGGGGAGACCTTTATGGCGGGGTGGGAGGTTGAGGCAAATACCCTGGCTTCAGATTACGCCCAGCCAGACAGCCGGGTGATTAGAAGAGCCCAGCGGGACACGCTGTGCATCCAGGAGGCTTTGAAAGCTAGGTTCCACAGTGAGCAGGGTAACCAGTGACTGTTAAGTTTGTGGACACAGAAGCTGAACCTGCCCCCGTTTCTTTACCCAGTTTATGTTGACTATCCTCTCCAGCTACATACCCCCTTCACCCGCTTCCCAAAAAATAAAATCATTTCTATTTTCTTAATGAACACCGTTGTCTTTATTACTGTTTTCGCGGGAATGTTTTAAACCTGGGACGCAGACTGTGGTGGGGGGCGGGTGTAGTGTAGTGATGCAAATGATGCCTCTAAACTCCAGGAATGACAGGCTCCGCAGTGGTGGACTGGTTGTTTCAACGGAGCCTGCCAGCTGTCCTGGGCAGGACTGTGTGTATGTGTCGGCTATGTGACTTTCTGGCAGGGGGAGAAGGGTTACAGATCCCCTGCTGTGTGGCTCTGTGATCCAGGATAAGGACCGCTGCATAAGATCTGTGACTGCCCTCCCCCGCCACAAAGTCACAGAGCAAACCCCCCCCCCGCACAGAACATGAAAACCACCTCCCAGACTGACCAGGGTAACTAGTAACTGCACTGTGTATGTGCCCTGCTGCTGGACCTGCCCCTGCCTCTGTACCCTGCTAAAGGTGACTATACTGTCCAATTACCAACCACCTTCCCCCCCTTCACACAGACGCTCCTCCAAAAGAAAATGATGGAAACAGTAATTAACAGAAACGTATATTTTATTAGTAACAACACATGAAACAGGGGGGTTGGAACTTGGACGGGGGCTTGTGTGAGGTGGGTAGGAAAGCACTTTTCAAAGTTTGGGGAATGAGAGCCTTCTAGTGCTACAGCACTCTGCAGGGGTGGAGTGAAACTTTTCACGGCCCCTGCCGCCCCTCCTTCTTTGGACTTTGGGTGAGGGGGGTATGGGACTTGGTGGCGGGGGAGGGTGGTTACAGATGTACTGCAGCGGGGCTCTCTCCTCCTGCCTCCGGTCCTGCAGAACATCCACAAGGCGCCGGAGCATGTCCGTTTGCTCCCTCATCAGTCCAAGCAGCGTTTGAGTCGCCTGCTGGTCTTCCTGACTCCACCTCTCCTCCCGTTCCATGTTTGCTCTGTGCATTTGGGACAAGTTCTCCCTCCACTGTGTCTGCTGGGCTGCCTGGGCTCGGGAGCAGCACATTAGTTCTGAGAACATGTCCTCCCGCATCTTCTTCTTCCTCCGCCTAATCTGCGCTAGCCTCTGGGACTGTGATGCCACGCTGGGTTGGGAGACAGTCGCAGATGTGGCTGTGGGAATGGGAAAAAGGGAGTAAATTCCTCAGAAAGATAAATGTAGTTGTGAACAAAGAACATAGTCTTTCTCTGTGAACAAGACCATGCCCTGCACCTATCACATGCGCACTCAGGACAAGGTCGAATTTTCGGCCCTCGCCTTCAGTGCCTGTGGTCTTGCAGTGGCGATCTGAGAAGCGGGGCAGGACACCGGAATTTGTGTAGCTGGCAAACATGGTAAGCCAGGATGGAATGCAGTGCCTCGTAGAAACGGGATGTGTGGGGCTGGGATCCGGAGCGTCCGTTTGCCTCTTTGGTTTTTTGGTAGCCTTGTCTCAGCTCCTTGATTTTCACGCGGCACTGCATTGCATCCCGGCTGTATCCTCTCTCTGCCATGGCTTTAGAGATCTTCTCATATATCTTTGCATTCCGTCTTTTGGAGCGCAGCTCGGAAAGCACGGACTCATCGCCCCACACAGCGATGAGATCGAAGACTTCCCGATCAGTCCATGCTGGGGCCCTCTTTCTAGTCTGCGATTGCACGGCCATCTCTGCTGGAGAGCTCTGCATCGTTGCTAGTGCTGCTGAGCTCGCCACGATATCCAAACAGGAAATGAGATTCAAACTGCCCAGACAGGAAAGGGAATTCAAATTTTCCCGGGGCTTTTCCTGTGTGGCTGGTCAGAGCATCCGAGCTCGGACTGCTGTCCAGAGCGTCAACAGAGTGGTGCACTGTGGGATAGCTCCCGGAGCTATTAGCGTCGATTTCCATCCACACCTAGCCTAATTCGATATGGCCATTTCGAATTTAGCGCTAGTCCTCTCGTTGGGGAGGAGTACAGAAGTCGAATTTAAGAGAGCTCTATGTCGAACTAAATAGCTTCGTGGTGTGGACGGGTGCAGGGTTAATTCGATGTAACGGCGCTAAATTCGACATAAATGCCTAGTGTAGACCAGGCCTAAGAATAATGAAAATACACTTCCAGTATAGGCTGGATGGTGGGCGAATCACCTAGTACTCAAAATTTGTAATAACATTTGCCAAACACAACTTTTTAGTTCTTTCAAAAGGGTCTTTCCTAACCATTGAAGATATTTCATCACAGAAATTGTCTGTCACCAATATGAAGACAGCCTAATTTTGCCTGGAGAGTTCATATTCATTTTACCCTGATGAGAAGTGATAGTGTAATAGAATCTTGCAAAATTAACCAGCTTAGGCACAGAATCTTCCCACTCATCCCATGATAGTAATTAAACAATGGAATATTTTAACTTATCTCTAAAAAACGTTTAAAAAATACTTGCTCCTTGTGAGTGAATGAGCAGAATTTTGCAAAGCAGCAGTAAGATAAATGAAGAATGACTAAGTCAAAACAAACTTAGTGGACTTCATAACC